AGGAAAGACGGTTCACTCCACGACCATCTTAGGCAGCAAAAACACAATTTCAAATCAGCCTTATGGACATTAATGATATCAAAAAGTTAGTCTTTAGACTAAAATAACACTTAAAACATTTTTTTTTTTCCACCTCTTCAGATTAGTCCAGAACAGTCACAAACACCAAACAATGAAACTGCTGACTAGCCATTGGCTTTTTTACTTGGAAGTAGGGTTGGGTATCGTTTTTTTTTTTTCGATACCAGTGCCAAATCAAAACTTTTAAAATAGTTCTGGTGCCTAAACGGGGCCTGAACTGATACTTACTTTAAAAAAAATTCCCCAAAACATTATGGATTGGCCATTAGCATTATAAACACATGATGTCTGTTTCATTCATACTGGAGGCTAGAGGGCGCCCTCGCACATAAATTGACATGTCTCATGACTAGTGGTCGACCGATATATCTGCCTATATTTGGCATTTTTCAAATATCGGCATCGACCGATAAGTTTTTCTGCTTGGCCGATGTGTTCGAGGCAGGACTTTTATTTTGACGGCGCTGAGAATGACAGCGCCAGAGCACACAGTGCTCACATTCTCCCTCTTCATTGTTTGCTGTCGTCGTTTAACAATTCTGCCTAATACAGATAGAAGTCTGTCTAATAATCAGATAGAACTGTTGAACAAATGAATTAAAAAGTATACAAAAAGTATTATAACGATTGCTTTTATATTATTAGTAACAGAAAGGCAAACATTATAATACTTTCGATTACAGTCGATCCGTGCGAATTGAATCCGGACAGGAGGAGAGTTCAGCTTCACTGGAAACGCGTGATCAACTTTAAAATAGTGATTTCAAACTATGCTGATTTATGCAATTGCGCACTGTCATATTCGTGTCATTTTTACTGCGTGCTGCATGTAAAATGAGTGTTACCTTGACTTTAATTGAAAAAATATGATTCCCAATGCACACAAACGTCCCAGATTACCGAGTGCCCTATTGGTTACAGTGTTTACTTACTTTACTTACTTTTTGCTCCAAAATTATACACAATATTAGAATGTTTAAAGGAGTGGACATTTCGCGGGAGCGAAACACTTGTTGCGGGAGCAGGCGGCAATGGTCAGAGATTCAGCGGGAGCGGGATTAAGAAAACAGCCAAATCCCGGACGCATTTTTGTAGGTCCAAAAAGAGGACATGCTGGGGGAAAAGAGGATGTATGGTCACCCTAACTTATAATCTATTGCTAATCGATGTATTCTTTTTAAAGTAGCATATGGAAAATATTTTCTGCCTCATTCTGTGACAAGAAGCCTCATCAGATCACAAAAGGAAGCATTTGACTGGTGTTGTGGAGTAAAAAGGTTATAATGTTCTCTTTTGTTGGACAACAGGTTTAGAAATGTGAATACAAGGGAGGTTTAGCTTTAGGCATTTTAATTTAAGCATGTTTAGCTTAGTTAACGGAAGGCTACCTGCTGCCATCAGAGCAAGTGTAATTACTGCATTCACGCGCTCCTCGAATGCTCTCATTTCCCGAGTTGTGCTTTTAAGTCGGAATGTGAAAACAACATGGACACTCTCGTTACTACAAAGATGTGTTGGATTTGTATTATTAGAGCTTTCCGACTTGAGTTCACGTGCATTTTCTCAGTTGGGTGCCATATTATTTTTCACGTGCGGTGCCAGTGATGATGCTTCTTACGTCCGTTTCGGAGAACCGGAGGAAATATTTCAATCGATCGCTCAGGCATGGCACCGAAATAAGGCACCGAAATCTGCTTTCTGATTCGGTTCTAGTAGGTACGTACCGGTTACATAGGTATCGGTGCCATATTGGTACCGGGTTTCGGTACCCAACCCTACTTGGAAGGCAGGACTACTTTCATTTTAGCCAGTTTCTTCATTATTCTGCAAATGGTCTGTCTCTGCTACAGACTTTCTAAGATGTAATATAGTCATACTATGTGACCAGTGCTGGCAAAATGAGTCACAATGAGCAATTTTTCAAAAATGAAATATTTTTTTATTTTATATATATTCACATTTATTTCCTCTAAATGACCTTCAGAATGATGTATGATTTGTTGAAATCGGGACAAAAAATTACTGAGCTACACGTGTTTGAAGTCGATAGAGTCAGCACAGTCAATTTTGAGAACAATCTTTTCTGAAGGTACAAAAGCAACCTTTCCCCAACAGTTCCCCAAACGTTCACTTAAGACATAACAGATTATGTTTGTGTGAATACATAAATACTGTAATTCTGTATATATTTATCAGGATTGTGTTGTTGGAAGTGCCTTTATGCACACGCTTCGGATGACAGTCAGTGTGAGAAGTCAGCAGAAAAAAGGTATTCTTCTCAGAAAACGTGAAAATAACGATAATTTTAGATGTTTAATTGCTATCTGGAGCATTGGGATCGCTAGATGAGGGTTTAATGAACTCATTTTTGTGAAAATCTCAAATTCGACTGAAATCGAAGTTTTTCACTTTTTTGTGTGTAGCTCAAAATTACCCTGTGCACATTCAGACTCATTTTGCCAGTACGGGTCACATATGAGCTCTCTCTTGCTCTCTTATATAGGGTGGTATCATCCTGTATATTCTTGAGTTGGGATTATCTTGGCTAGAAGAGGTTTGTCTCAAACCTCAGGAGAACTAGAGGGATTTGAGTCCGTTCTGATGGGGGCATTTGCTGAATTTCTAATTTAAGTGTCGAAAAGCTTCCTTTACACGCCGAGGGCTTTGATTACACTGATCCTTGGAAGATACACTGACACACATAAACAAATCCCAGAAAAATACAGCCGTATACACACACACAGCGTTCAGACAGATAAATCCTCCTATTGACACTGTCCCACGAGAGCGCAGGCAATTTTCACATGCTGTGACAGAGTGGTAGATTTATCTTTATGGTCAGACAGGGCACAGCTGTAATACTCGGCAGGCTTTAGGACTCTGTGATCAGCTCACCGGTCAGTCTCCTTGCTGAACTGGCCCTTGCCAACGTCGTTGACGGCACACAGACGGAACTGATATGAGCGCGCCGGGATCAGCCCGTTGACCGTTACAGCAGTCGACTCCGGCTCGATGCTGGCCAACAGGACTGTCCAAGGAGCGTCTGTGTAGAGGAGATAATGAAGAACATTTAATGAGCTAGGTGAAGAACTAAACCAACATTTAAAAAAGAGCTTTTGCATAGGACAGTCTTCTTAAGGTCCTATGAAGCCATTGAAGAACCTTTCAAGTTCAACGGTTCCATGTACTAGTGCTTCAAAAAACCCAGAAGGTGATACAAAGAACTATCAATATGGTGATATGAAAAATCTACAAAATAGCATCAATTACTTTTTCATGTTTGTTTGTTTGCTTGTTAGTTTTTTTTTTTTAATAATTATTTGTGATATTGTTATTTGCTGAACCCTATAATAAATAATAATATGAAATAGTGCAATAAATATTATGGTCATTGTTTCTTATTCTTCTTATTATAAACAAAAAAAATTTATATTACATTATTATTATTATTATTATTATTATTATTATTATTATTAATATTAATATTATTAATATTAATGTTGATGTTATTATTAAATGTTAAGTGTTGTTCATTTTATTTTAATTACATTTAATAATAATAATAATAATAATAATAATATATATCCTTATTATTACTATAAATTAATTATTATTATTTATATGATTAAAAAAATAAATAAATAATAATAATAATAGGCTAATAATAATAATAACAACATCACATGTATTATTCTTATTATTTTATTGATGTTATTATTATTATTATAATAAATTAATTATTTTGTTCATATTATTTTAATAATAATAATAATAATATTTATTATTATTATTATTATTAGTAGTAGTAGTAGTAGTAGTAGTAGTAGTAATATCAATACTATTATTATTATTATTAAAATATAAATATATAGAAATAATTTGGTCAACAATAATAATAACAACAACAACAACAACAACAACAACAACAACAACAATAATAATAATAATAATAACTTACTCTATTTAACATAATTACGACTTTCAGAACATCATCAGTGAAATTCATAACAATGTAACTACATCAATGTCACACAACTTGCCCAAGATTAATGATCCACATGAGGTCTTTACTCACTGTTTTCAGACACTTCCAGAATGTAACGGATGAGAGGGCTGTTCCCGTCAAAAGGTTTGGCCCACGTCAGGTTTATGGCTCTCTTCTCTGTGGTGCTTAACACTGCACTGGGGTTCTCAGGGGCATGAGGTAACTGCCTGTGGTAGCATGTTATTTAAAAAGGGAAAGTGTGAGATAGTCTTGACGTTTCAGGGCCATTTAATGAGCACTCCATGAGGCATTATATCTCATGTCTGAATAAAACAAGAACATGAATGGGTCTACAAAAGAGAGGTCAGCGAGGATTGCCGTTTAGAACCATCCATGTTAAATGCTATATAGTTGACTAGTTCTAACAACATTATTGAATGTAATAACAAGCTGCAACCTCTCATCAGCAACGTAAATGCAACATATACATTAAATACAGAATATTACTTTGTCTTTATCCTTTGTCTGTATAAGAACAAAGAAGAAAAGAAGAGTTTTAAGAGAATGGGGATGTTTGACAAACGTGAAAATAAATGAGTGAGTATAAAATGACTATAAGACTACTGTATCAATCGATAAGAGACATGAACATTAATAAAAAGAAAGCGAGAAAGTGAATCACAATATGTTTGATAGATAAAAGAGAAAGATGAAGATACACAGAAAGAAAAAAATGAGGGCAGACAATAACCGCTGTGCTGTTAAATTAAAAAATGGAGGCAACGAGGCAGAAAAAGAGGCCGAACGAGTGCAGGTGATAAACAGGGATATTGAAAAACTGAATGAGATACAATTCAGCACGGAGAGAACGAATCAAAAAGAAATGATCAGAAGAGATGAAGGACTGCATGGCTAGGGAACAGAGCAGAGAGGATGATGGGAGTGCGTCTTCATCTCTGACCTCACGCGTAAGTGTGCACTACGGGAATCATTGCCGCCCACTGATGTCACTCTGCAGGTGTATGTGCCGATGTCACCTGACCAGGTCTGAGAGATGTGCAGCGTACCATTGACATCCAACCGCAGTCGAGGCAGAGACTGAGGGATGATCACCTGACCGTCCTTCTCCCAAACGAACCTGAATTCACACACAAACACCAACATTAACTACAAATACTGTACAAGTCTTCAAATATCAGTTCATTTTGAGACCATTATTGTGTATTGCTGTTTTTAAAACTATTTATTCTTTTATTCAATTACAGATAACATAAAATCCAATACAATGCACTTTGCAATGCATAATGTGACATATTTCTGTGTAAAACAGAACATTAAGTGGAAAAACTGTACAGCGGGACTTGATTTGATCAATCTGATTTTGATCTGATTGTGAAAATTTAGGTTACAATGTTATTAGTGGTGCTTGTTAAAACCCTTCATTACTTCAAACCTTTGAATCAAAAAAAATCTTCATATTTACTAGAAACACCCTAGCAACCGCTAAGTAAACACTCTATCAGAACACTCAGAACACATCAACTACCTAGTGATGGCCTAGCAACCACCCAGAACACCCTAGAATACTCTAGCATCCACTTAGTAACAGCCTAGCAATCACCCAGAACATTCTAGCATCCACATAGTAACAGCCTAGCAACCACCCAGACTCTTCTAGCATCTATCTAGTAAAACCCCTGAAACCACCCAAAACACTCACTCAAGGATTCATTTAGTAACACCATAGCAATCACCCAGAACATTCTAGCATCCACCTAGTAACACCCTAGCAACTACCCAGAACATTCTAGAATCCACATAGCAATGGCCTAGCAACCGAATACACTAACATCCATGTAATAACGGCATAGCAACCACCTACAATGTTCTAGCATCCACCTAGTAACACCCTAGCAACCACCCAGACTGTTCTACCATCCATCTAGTAAAACCCCAGCAACTACCCAAAACACTCAATGATTCATCTAGTAACACCCAAGCAAGCACACAGAACATTTTAACATTCACCTAACAACACCCTAGCAACCTAATACACTAACATCCACCTAATAAAGTCATGGCACCCACCTACTGTAGAATGTTCTAGCATCCACGTAGTAACACCCTAGCAACCACCCAGGCTGTTCTAGCATCCATCTAGTAAAACTGAACCTGAAACCACTCAGAACACTCAAGAACATTCAGAACATGCTAACATCCAAAAAGAAAACCTAACCAGCATACATCCCTCAGAAAACATTTGCAAACATATCAGAAAGAGAAAGTCATTACATTTTAACGAAAGATTATGAAAACAACCATTTTTGGACTCTTTGGACATTGTGAACAGGTTTAATTCAGATTTAATGTTGTCTTGTTAATTAAAGTTAACCTAAAAACTAAAATCCCTGTATTAAATGACGAATTACGAATAACAGTTTAGAATAAAGAGAGAACGCATGGCTGTAACACAGTTTGTAGATCAGGAAGAAGGATTTAATAAAATAAACAAACACAAAATGGAAGTAAAGCAGCAGCCCCTCGCGCAAGACTGCCGCACACAAAACACAAAATAAAGTCCAGGCCTGGTCCTCTCTCGTCCAACACTGTCGTCACTCCTCCTTTTATCCTTCTGGAGCTCCTCCGTGGGACTCGAGACCGGTGAGTGGCGCAGGTGTCGTGCATTAGCATTTACTCCACCGGCCTCGCTCCGTTCCCATGGCTCTCGGCCCCACCCCTCTCGTCACAATGGCATTTGATAATACAACTGTATTAAAAATGATTTATTGTATCATTTCATTGACTTCCTTTGTGCTGCTGGTCTGGCAGACATCATGGTTACTGTATGACACCTGTGTGTATGAATCAGCGTATTTAACTGAGCCGTTCCACATATTACATTCTAGACGATTTTATCCAACAGGATTTGAATGCCGTGAAACATGGAAGGCTATGATATTGCTAGGGCATGCATCACTACCACTAGTGCTCATACTCAGGGTAAAGCATTTTAACAACCCTTGCATTCCAAGTCGGGAGTGAGATATTCCTACTAAGATATTCCTAGGTGCTCCATTTCCAACGCTGTTCAAAGACATATAGGCAAACAAAATGGCAATGATACCGTTAGCTTTGCAGTTGTTTGATTGTCAACAAATATGTTTTCTAGCAACACAATTGTGGAGTGAATACAATGTAGACCTAATAATGTACTAGCAACCACTCAGAGCACTGTACAACTAGAAATGCACCAGTCGACTGATGAATCTGATGAAAGTTCTGGAGTGTTTCGGCTTTTTAGTTTTATTTTGGCCGATCTCTATTCCAGGAATTGCACACAAACTGCACTGCAATCTCAAATTTCCCAAAATGTAATTTGTGTGGAAATATTACTAAGTCTGTAAACAGGATATTAACACAGGCCAGAAACGCTGAAGATAGACGCGGAACATACTGTATCAGGCAGAGCAAGATCCTAAATACTGAATTGGGGATGAGGAGGTATATGAATGTATAACTGAAGGGAATTGACTGTCTTCAGGCATTTTCTTTTCCTCTTATCTCAATTTAATGCCTGTTAAAGTAGTGTTTATGAGTGCAGCGCTGCTTTGTTTACAGTAGCAACCAAGGAAACGCTATATCGCTGCTGTTCCATAAGCACCACCTACTGTCAGAGAGTGAATTTGCATTTTCATTCAGTTGTCTGCAGTTTTTGTTTTCTGCAGGTGTCTTATGTTGCATGTGCGTAGCATCTTTGTTTGGATCACGACTAAAATGCAATGGTTGCCTTTAATTTCAAATGGCTACAGATATTTTGCAATTTGCTTGTTATAGAGCAAATAAACAACAAATAAACTGGCTCAAACAAAGGAAAAAAAAATTCGGAATCGGCTATGAAAAATCTAGAATCCACCTGGTAATGGCCTAGCAATCACCCAGAACATTTTAGAATGTTGTTTTTCAAAACAACCTAGAAACCCAAATTTTTAGAACTCTGATGAATCATTACATTTATTACAATGTAAATAAGAAAAAAAAAACCTTAAGAGTATTTAGGGACTAAATAATATAATAGACATCTCGGAACTGCAAAGCAATGCACTTTGCAACTATATAGTAATGCCATACATAGCATTTTGAAGACGAAGCACTCATAATTTCTTCTAAAAATATATATATCTAGCTAAATAATATTATTTTTCTCCACCCACATGGTTGCATTAGTATAAAAGTAGTTTTAAAAAATGCTAAACGTTTTGTGTTTACAACAATTACCGTATTGACCCGAATATAAGACAATGTTTTTTTCTTGGAAATACATCTGAAAAAACATGGCCGTCTTATATTCAGGGTCTAGACTTTGACATGTCAATAATACACCCACAACAATAGGTGACGCCAAATACGCATAAAACGAGTGTGCCATGAAATACGTAATGTAATGCGTGTTGTAAAGATCGCGAGTAAAAACAAAAGAGAAAGAAAATCTTACAGCTGCATGAGTCGTGGCTGTCAGGTTAGCCTGATGTGACCAAACTCCCTTTGTGATTTTAAAACGTAAGACAGTACCCAGATTTGAAGACTACAGTAAGATTTAACTTCTACTGTTAATAAGATTTTGGTAGGCTACTATTAGATGGATAGCCTAAATGTCCTAATTCAGATGGGCTACCTGTTTTTTTTTTTTTTAATGGTATATCAAAAAGTGTATATTTTTTAAATGTGATTTTTTGGTACATTTTACCAGTTTTTACCAAACTTTCAAAACAAAATTTAAAATAGGAAAAATATGCAATATGAAAATAATTAAAGACAAAATGTGTTTAACTGAGAAAAAACAAGATTTGGTTTTTAAAAAGCCTTTTTCCAAAAGGTACATCTGGAAACTTGCTAGCACACGTTCTCCTGTGGAGAACACATACCCAGATATAATATGTAAAAGATATAATATGTAAAAAGTGCTTTAAACCAAGATGCAAGACAAAAATAAAGCCTATATAAAAAGTTAAAAATAAAAATCAAGTTGCATGACACACATAAAGCCTATAATAAAAGAATTTGAACTATTATTTCAAAATGCTATTTAAAATTATATGATTTATAAAATAACACGATATTATATTATTAAAACTGATATTATGTTATATTATATTATATAAACTGAAAAAACATAAAATCTCTCTTTTTAAAGGATTATTTTACTGTTAAAGGGGAATTAAAAATTCTGTCAACTCTGTGAGAAGGGTATTGAGTGAAGGTTTCGAGCTTCAGAAAGGACACAAAGGCACTATGAAAGTATAATAAAGGTGGTCAATATGACTCATGTACTATATTCCAAGTCTGAAGTCATGCTGTAGTTTTGTGTGAGAAGCTGACTGAATTTTAAGTTATGATGAACTGAATATTCCTCTCCAGTGAGCTGTAACTGATTCATTGAAAAGGTTTGACTCGAATGAATAATTTGTTTACTAAGCAGACATCACTACTCTCTCATGAACACACCAAAAGAGCTAGGGCGATTTTTCATTGGAAAAAAAATGACTTCAATTTGGGTCTACTACTCACACAATGGTATCAGAGCACTTGGACTAAAGTGTAAGGAGTCATATAGACTACTTTTCAAGCTGCTTTTGCATCCTTTTTTAAGCTTGACAGCCTCAGTTCCCGCTCATTATAATTGCATGGACAAGAGGGACCGAAGAAATTATATTTCTATATTTTATGAAATATTATATATTATTATGAAAATCTTGTCAATTATCACTCCCATTATTACACTTGTTTTTTCATTACATGTTGCCCCAAAAACACATTAATATGCAAATTAGATTTAGTTTATAGATACATTGTATATAATGAGAAAACCTGTTTATGGCCATTTTACACACATTAAGCACACCGACAAAAAGCACATCAGTGACACGAGAGAGAATGAAGACTGGGAGAAAGAAAGACAGGAAGGCATTGTTGGTATGGCATTCAAAGGCATTTTGATTGCAAGAGAAAGATCGAGAGAGAGGTAAAAGAAATAAACGGCCACATGTAATTGTGCATTAGTTTATGAGAGCATGACGGGCAGAAAGAGGAAAGGTGTAATCCGGAGAGTGGGACGGGCGGATGAACTCACTCGTAACGGCGAGGTAGGTGTTGGTCTGCACCTCTCCGGCCTGGTTGCGGGCGAAGCACTGGAACATTCCGGTGTCATCAGGCAGAAGGCCGTTAACCTGGAGACTACCTCCTGCCAGCACTCTGTAGCGCGGGGTCTTCACAGGGCTTATGGGTACCGCGTCCTTGTACCACACAATATCAGGCTGTGGCACACCTGAGATGAATAGGAATGTAAAGGAGCCCAACTGAATAAAGAAAGAACTGAATAATAATATATATAAAATTATATAAATAAAACAATATGATAAATATTAAATATAATTATTTAATAATAATAATAATTGAAATTATATTCAAATATTATAATAAATATATACTATATTACATTTATACATAAAAACAAATAAAGATATTATAATTTATTTATTTTTATTTCATTTATTATGTAAGAACAAATAATTTATTAATAATTAATTAATTAATTAATTAATTAATACAAAATAAACATTGTATATAAACTATTTAGATTAAACTATATATCAATCAAATATACATTTTATATATTATTATAAAAATATAACACACACATATATAATAATGTATAATTTATGTATAATAATTTATTAATAATTAACAAATAAATTACAAAAATAAACACTGTATATAAAATATATAAATTCAATTAAAAACCAAATCTAACAATTATATATAATTTCTTTAATGCTATTCTATTTAATTTATTGTATACAATTAATAATCTAACACACACACACACATATATATATACAGTAGATATGATATATGAATGGTGAATATAACAATATAACATTACCACACCTAACTAGGTACGACGCAACAAAGCTTCAACTTTTCCATGAAACACACTGTTCAAAAATCATGTTCCATATGGCTGTATATTGAACATCTGATTGACTGATCTGTTCTGGTTAAATGTGGATGCTTTGTGCAGCATGCTGCTGTCAGTAAGTACAGAACAAATCACTTGATGCTTGAAAAACCTCATTAGGAGGAGGTGTTGGGAGGTGTCTCACCTCTGGCCTGGCAGGGAATGTCCACTACTTTTTCCATCTCAGCTGTGATGTGTTTTTCTGGTTCCTTCACAAACTGAGGCGGTTCTAAAGGAAAGAAAGAGCAAGAGAGAGAAGGTTGTGACCTCCACATGTGCACTTGAGAGAAAAACACCACAGACAAATGACACAGGAAGCAAGATTGATAACTTTCAAATAAATAGGACTGCTGTTGGTTCCCTTTCATGGGAACTTCGAACTGCGTCCTCTAGGGGTCGTTATGGGGAAACCTAGAGGACGCAGTGTCTCGTTCCCTACTCAGGGAACCATGGTTACATAAGTAACCTGAGACGATTTTTGAGAACATCCTGTTCAAGTTTTTTTTTTTTGGTTTTACTCTGACAACAGAGCATTTCCATAGAGACAGAGATAGAAAAATGGCCCTAAAGGAAACATACACTGTAAATAGTGACTAGTTACATTTAAAATTCCTAGTTGGCTTGCTAAACGTTTTGCTGTTCAAAAGAACACCGTGTGAAAAAGAAATATTTTTTATGTATTGTTTTAAGCATTATTTTATTTATTTATTTTTAATGCATTTTTGCTAAATAGTAGTCGGCAAAAATAAACATCTGTATTTATTCTCCTGGAAATCAAACCCAAAACCTTGTCATTGCGAACATCAGTGCTACCATTTGAGCTATAGGCAAACTGCATGACTAAAATGCAACATCTTTATTTATTTAACACGACTTTCTGTTCATTTGGCTTCAAAAAGCGAATCAGTGAGAGGTGCAATGTTCCTTTACTTCTGCTCATGCTCATTGGCTTCAACATGTCCACTGTTGCTCAGTGAATATACATTTTTATGCTGAATTTAATAGGTTGACTCAGCACACTGATTATAATGAGCAGAATATTAGTCTGAACATTATTTATTCATTTATTTATTTTTACAGTGGAACATTTGTATATCAGCACTTATTTAGTATTCAATACCCTGCCATGATAAACAACAACTGCTGCAAAAATATAGAATATGGCACTTAAAATGTCATTCATGGATTTCTAATGCACTTGAGGATTTATTTACACTCAAAAGTACAACTAGTATAACTGTATTACCGAGCACATGTAGGTATGCTCCAGCACTGACAGAGGGAACGCTGCTGCTCCGGAGGACAGCTTCACACTCGTAGAAGCCAGAGTCACTGACTACTGGACTCAACACCGTCAGTCTACGGTTAAAATCACTCAGTCCACTCCTCACTGGAACACCGTCCTTCTTCCAACTGATGCTCAGCTTTATTAACGGCCTGAGAGAGAATTAAAATGGGGTAGAAAGAGAAAGGCAGGTAATTTATTATAACTTTTATTATATTTATTATTATATTTTGCTTTTCTGACTAAATAAATTTGAAGTAATGTTCCATGTACAAAGCAATTGAAGTTCTATCACCAGAAACTGTGATATATTGTGAACTATAACAGAAAATCATTTTCACTAGTTCCTTGGTCTGAAAACAAAAAAGCAAACATTTTTCATAATAAAGCACTCACCTTGAAAGTCCATGGGATAAGACATTTAAAATACACACTCCTATCAAAGTTGAGCCATAAGACTTGAATTTTAAGTGTGCAAATATAATCCACTCATGCCAAGACCATTTAAAGATGGTGATACACATGAGGATAGCAGACAGAGAAAACAGTAGTAATTCATACTTTCATATTCACCTAAAACATAATAATAACTTCCATAATGTGCAGTATACACTGAAAACTGCATTTAAAAACAATGTCCAAAAAAAAAAAAAAAAACTTACATTTAGTTTAAACCTTTTAATGCTAAAATGTACATCTCCAATCTTAAAATATATTTTGGGTATGTAAATAATTTATTTATTATATATAATCTTTTTTCCCAGTTATTAGTGTGTAATATATTTTTGAAGCACATTGTAAATACTATTTTAAAAGCTGTATACAGTTTCTTGTCTTTTGTAAGTGACAGCATGCCATGGATTCTGTCAATAGAGCTTGAGAACTGAACCATTCATTCACTACTTTTGAAGTTCATAGTGAGATGTTCATAAAAACCAAAAACCAAAAACATAACACTAAGTTTCAATGGAGTCTGTACGTTACATTAAATAATTATAAAAAAAGTGGTGAGAAAAAGAATAAAAAGTATGACAGTCTTCAGCCCACTGCTCACCTTTTAATCACCATAATTAAAATAATTTTCCTTTCATTCAAATTATGAAGGAATCAGAGGTTAGTCACCTAGCGTTGGCCACACACTCCATGGTGATCTCAGAGGTGCCGGAGATGACGCTGGTGTTCCTCGGCGGGATGACAATGGTGGGAGCGATGGGGTCTGCAGGACCACCAACATCTACAGAAGAGAAATGTGAGAATGAGAAAACGATGAGAGCTTGAACAAGTGAGTTATGATACACAGGTAAAGGACATTATCGAGTGAGTGTTTTTAATAGAACTCTGATCTGTCATCTTCAGGTGTGAGTGTGTCCAGATGTAGGAAGTGCCAGCCGATGTACTGTACGTGTTACAGCAAGTGTGACAGATTTGTGTTTGGAAGAGGAACTTATATCCCTGCTCTCCTGGCAGCTGTGTGTGTGTGTGTGTGTGTGTGTGTGTGTGTGTGTGTGTGTGTGGAGCTCTGTCAGAGACAGTCTCTGTAAAGCACTGATATTCAACTACAGCTTCTGGGAAGGACTGTCCTCTACACACACACACACACACACACACACACACACACACACCTCCCACGATCTCTAATCTCCTCACTGTCTCTGCACCATACTTTAGTTCCTCCTGTATTAGACTCAAAAATATCATATCCTGGTTTGCCGGGAGAATCTGATATACTGAAACTCTTGCAAAGTACAATCCATAACTGTCAATATTCTCGCTGTGGAAGCTGTGAGAGTGAAACAAAGCACTGTCACAGACAGAAGACAACTATGTATTTGTCTATAGCCTGTTTTTCTCAGGTTTTCTCATATAAACCAGCATGTTGTCTAAAATAAAAAGACAAGATTGAAATCTTTGCTTCATTTACTTCCATTCTTTCGCATATAAATGTGGGAGATTGAGAACAGAAGTATATGCATAAATATTTAATCTTTCACTGTATACTAAGAGTCACGTTCAGAAATTACACACATCATTTTTAAAATGAATAAATAAACACATTTATTAAAATTAATATATTAGCACAAAATTGGTGTTTTTTATTTATTTTAAAATAATTGAAGTTAAATTAATTAAATTATTTGAAAAACGTACAACAACCTTTATTGATGTTACTTTGAAATATGGATTAAATTGATATTTTCATAGCAGATACGAAATAGAAATATATACATTTTTTCAAACTGTTTTAGTTTTTAGTGGGTTCTAGTGCTTTTATATATATATATATATATATATATATATATATATATACAGTGGGGAAAAAAAGTATTTAGTCAGCCACCAATTGTGCAAGTTCTCCCACTTAAAAAGATGAGAGAGGCCTGTAATTTTCATCATAGGGTACTAACTCACTGCCATCTCATTATGCCTATTCATATACACAAAGGGAAATGTCTTTAAAAACATGACAGAATTCTGAATGTTTCTTTTTTTTTTTTCTAAACCATTGACACAACGACTAATTTAGACATAATAAACAAAAGAAACTTAATTTCTCCATCTGTCATTTCCCCTCCAGATCAAGAACTCCGTGAAATGACTTTGCTCCATAAATATCACATAAACTACTTCTGGTGTCAGCAACATGCAACAGCTGCTATGATGAAAGAATTCTTTTTTTCCATTAAAAAAACTAAAATATTACTACTATTATTTTATAGGCATTTTCCATCTTTTAATTAAGCCTTTATTAAATTCAAGTACTTTGAAATATATTTGCTAAAAAAAACTTTTCACATGAACAGGGAATACATACACGCATACATATAACTCTGTTCTACTTTAAAATATTTAAAAAAGTAAATTATGATCAATTATTATTATTAATTTTTTTCATTTTTCATAATTGATTTATTATTTAACATAACCTAGGGGCAAGAAAATAAATTAAAACAACTTGTACTACACATGTAACACTACTTCCTCTTTAGCAGTACATTCACGCATCTCACTTTGAATAACCAGCCATCTCCACCCGACTGCCCCATTGCTCTCCACTGGGCCGAGTCCTGACTCTTACCCCATGGAGTCCCAATTACAGTGCCTCCTTTGTTCACAATCAATGTTTTCTCATTATGACTATGTGTTGGACAATTGAGGAAGAATTGTTCGTTCTGCGTGGCTGCCCTCGACCCGTCTCACACACCTACAGTCTTTGAGCTGGCACCCACGTTCCCCCGGCCCGAGTCCTCTGGGGTGCGGAATGCTAATAGGAATCTGTTCGTCTCACTGTAAGAATACCAAATGTGTGCCAGAGCCCCAGAGCCGGTATCACAAAAAGGCTGCAGATGCTTACTGATAAAATCAGCATATTTTGAGGCAAAACTGAAAGATACTTTCACTCATCTTTCATTCTCCTTTGGCTTTACGACTGTAAGAAGACTATAACACAGTTGATAGGCCTGCGATTGTACAGTATATTTTTATACAACACCCTTACATCTATTGTGTCTGTATACATAAACCTTAGCAAATGACATGCAATATTTATAACTACAGCTGATTCTGAAGTTTTATTTCTTATCTATACTTCTGAGTGTCCATCACAAGACACCACATCTTCTTCATATCGAAATCTGCTTCAACCTGGAGTTCTGGAGTATTACTGTGGTTAAAAATAAATGTGTGTGTGTGTTATTTTCTTTTTATCCTTTCGATCTATCTGTTTTAGACACATAGTAGTGGCGGCAAAGTCAGAAAGAACCAGTTCAGATTCCTGTAGTTGAGGTCATCATGAAACAACATTTGTAAGTGAAATTAATATTCACTGACAAAACAAACAACATGAACATGTATTACGTAAGTAAGTTAGTAAGGTTAATTAGAATTCATGTTGGCTTTTAAATATACAGTAAACTAATTTTAATCAAATGAGTCTGCTAATGTTGGACCCGCATTATTTTAGTATTATTTATATACTATTATAGTATTTATTAATATTCTGAATTAGCTTGTATTTTATATTTTAGAGTTTCCATTTGTTTTAATCATATTATCATGATTTTGTCATTTTTATTAATTAATTACATTTTTGTATTTGCCTTTATTTTATTTTATATATTTGTTTTGTTTTCGTAATTATTCAGTTTAACCTGTTAACTCAGAGATTGCATTACTGTTAATAGTACTTTTAATGAATTACAACCATTTAATTTCGGATAATGCATTTTCACGTCTATGTTAAAAAAGGGGGGTTGACAGTAAAGATGGTTCAACATTATTTTAATAAACAACACATATTTTAATAGTTTTAGTTAACAATAACAACCCTGAAACTCAGTGAGCTGTGGTGCTTGTGTGGCTGACATGAGTTCAAATCCAGTTTGCACTGTCTGGATTATGTTTCCCCATAATTCCCTTTCCATTTCGCACATTCCTATTAATAAAAAAAAAACAATGAGGCCAAAAATAGCAAAAAGTGACAATACAAATAACCAATAACATAAATTGTGTGCACAGAGCATTGCAGACCAGCTTTTAGCAAACCAAATCATCATCAAAACAACTCAAATTCAAATATTCATGAGTATCTGCATATTTAAAATTAATTTTGTCCTAAAGCACTGATTACACCAATCCAAACACTTTCAATAAAGATAAAATGCATAAAATATTGAAATTACTGATTGCATTTACTGAATTGTTAAGTGATATTAAGCTAACGATTTCAAAAGCACAGTTTGCTTTATTAAAAAGCAAAAAGCCTCATCCTTTTCCTTAACAACTGCACGATAAAGACATTCCGCTCGAGTGCAGCCGGCTGTCACAGGATATTACATCAACCTCCTGAAATGATTAATGACTGCTGTATGATTAGAGCAGCTCAACATAGAGGGATGACATAAGAGCGGATGATTGATTTTAATATCTCCTCATGCACACACTTGGTCTCAAATTTCTCCCATTTTCAGCCCACGATGCATCGTTCCAGATGGATAAGGGGCCGGTTAATAAGGGCGAACGGCTGTGGTGTGATGATCTGTAGTGAATATTTCACTCTGCCTGGGTTCTGGTGCGGCAGGTGTCAGGGAGAGAGCCACACTGCTGCTGAATTATGGATTGGAAGAGGGACAGTGAGCAGCCCAAGACTGCAAATTAATCTCAGGTGATTCCCTAAACCTGAGCACATAAAACGAGAATAAAGACACAGCTAGCAAACTGAGCAGCTAATGAGGCAGTCAAGAACACACACACACACACACACACACACACACACACAGAAGCACATTTGTATATGCACTTACATTGTTCACACACACACACACACACACACACACACAGACGCACATTTGTATATTCACTTACATTGTTATTTCCTTATACTTTTATAAACATTCACACACACACACACACACACACACACAATAAAATATGATTTACACTGCAAGCATACGACACCAAATTCCTGACTGACGCATGCACGCATGATAAAGGTCACGCATAAACATTATCGCACATGTCTCAGAGTACTCATAAATATAACACATATACATGTTTCTGAAAGCACAGATGAATATAAAATAAGATGAAGCATATGAACCCATGTTATGTGGTAACAACATATGACAGAGGTAAATTATGAACTTAGAAATGCCAAAGAACATATAATCCAGGCGTCCATGCAGGAATTCTGACATTTTTATCCATAATGTCAGGAATTTTTGTGTAATATAATAAAACATATTCAAGGAACTGCTAATGAAACCTGCATATACAGTGAATGAGGATAAAATAAAACTGCAGTTCTGGTACTTATTTTAACAAACATATTTTTGGTATAGACAAATTAAAAGTCAAATCATACAGGTGGCTTATTGAGGAAAGGTGTACTTTTACTCTTCCGATCGATTCCACAATACCAGAACATTATATAGACAATAAGTAATCACCTAGCAACCAGCCACGACACCTTAGCAACCACACATTCCAATACCCTAGTATCAGTGAAGCAAGCTTTGCTCTTATTTATTTGTGTGAAAATTCCAAAACACAGTTACTTTTTACATTTTTGTCCCACTCTTTTTCTGCCTTTACTCTCTCTGCATGTATCTGAGTGTACTCCCACGTGGTTGTGGAAAGATTTCATAAAATCAGTGATCAGTGACTGTTTCTTGTTGAATCACAGAGCTGATAAATTAGTAGCACTGTTGTGTTGTGTTTTCTCATCACAGCATTCAGTTACTGCAATCCTGCATTTAAGTCTGGCAAAGATTGGCATTGGGAGAATTCATTCCGTTCAAGTGTGCATAAAACATGGAGTCTGTAGAACAGTTCCAAAACTCAATGAGCTGCCAACCTGGAGAGCATTACAAGGCAACACAGGTTCACTCTCAATGCAAAGGTTGTTCCAAAAAGTAGGAAGCATTAATAATCATAAATGCATAAGATTAATCAGAAGGCTGATTAGAATTAGAAGGCAATTCCAAAATGCAATGAAAGAGAAAAGTTGATTACAAATATACATGGTAGTATATGAATATGTATATGATTTTTTATGTTTCTGAAAGAAGTCTATTATGCTCAACAAGGCTGCATTTATTTGATCAAACATGTAGTAAAAACAGCATTACTGTGAAATATTATTACAATTTAAATTAACTGTTTTCTATTTTAATATATTTGAAATCTAATTAATTCCTGTAATGGCAAAGCTGAAGTTTTACTCCTTTCTTCAGAGTCACATTATCCTTCAGAAATCATTTTAATATATAGTATATATAATATTAATATATATATATATATATATATATATATATATATATATACAGTGTGTACGGAAAGTATTCAGACCCCCTTAAATTACACCAATCCAAACACTTTCAATAAAGATAAAATGCATAAAATATTGAAATTACTGATTGCATTTACTGAATTGTTAAGTGATATTAAGCTAACGATTTCAAAAGCACAGTTTGCTTTATTAAAAAGCAAAAAGCCTCATCCTTTTCCTTAACAACTGCACGATAAAGACATTCCGCTCGAGTGCAGCCGGCTGTCACAGGATATTACATCAACCTCCTGAAATGATTAATGACTGCTGTATGATTAGAGCAGCTCAACATAGAGGGATGACATAAGAGCGGATGATTGATTTTAATATCTCCTCATGCACACACTTGGTCTCAAATTTCTCCCATTTTCAGCCCACGATGCATCGTTCCAGATGGATAAGGGGCCGGTTAATAAGGGCGAACGGCTGTGGTGTGATGATCTGTAGTGAATATTTCACTCTGCCTGGGTTCTGGTGCGGCAGGTGTCAGGGAGAGAGCCACACTGCTGCTGAATTATGGATTGGAAGAGGGACAGTGAGCAGCCCAAGACTGCAAATTAATCTCAGGTGATTCCCTAAACCTGAGCACATAAAACGAGAATAAAGACACAGCTAGCAAACTGAGCAGCTAATGAGGCAGTCAAGAACACACACACACACACACACACACACACACACACACACACACAGAAGCACATTTGTATATGCACTTACATTGTTATTTCCTTATACTTTTATAAACATTCACACACACACACACACACACACACACAATAAAATATGATTTACACTGCAAGCATACGACACCAAATTCCTGACTGACGCATGCACGCATGATAAAGGTCACGCATAAACATTATCGCACATGTCTCAGAGTACTCATAAATATAACACATATACATGTTTCTGAAAGCACAGATGAATATAAAATAAGATGAAGCATATGAACCCATGTTATGTGGTAACAACATATGACAGAGGTAAATTATGAACTTAGAAATGCCAAAGAACATATAATCCAGGCGTCCATGCAGGAATTCTGACATTTTTATCCATAATGTCAGGAATTTTTGTGTAATATAATAAAACATATTCAAGGAACTGCTAATGAAACCTGCATATACAGTGAATGAGGATAAAATAAAACTGCAGTTCTGGTACTTATTTTAACAAACATATTTTTGGTATAGACAAATTAAAAGTCAAATCATACAGGTGGCTTATTGAGGAAAGGTGTACTTTTACTCTTCCGATC